TTAGATCTCAAGTCCAAACCATGTATGAAATCTGTTGGCTTTCATAACAGCTTGCGTGAGGCTGAACGGGTGATAAGACAAAGACCCTGCCACTCAAAGCCCAACTGGAAAGAAACAAGGAGGGGTCACGTCTATGAACCACATATCCATAGTGAGAGGGCTCAACCCCTGAAAACCCCCCAAGGCCTGCAGGGTAGGGGAGCCCAAGCTGGTGGGTGCAGCAGTGGTGCAGTGGCCGGCCTCCAAGTTGGTCCCCAATTGTCCCCTTCCTGATATTCACATCCTGTGGTTCCCATGACCAATAGCTAGTTTCTGAGGAGTAAGTTCTGACACTAGATTATGTGAAGGCCACCACTTCCATCTCAGACATCACTCCTGCTGTCTCTCTCTCCACACACTCTTTCTGGGGGAAGCCAGCTGCCACGTGGTGAGGGCACTCGGGCATAGAGAAGCTCCTATAGCAAAGAGCTGGGGTCTCCTATCAACAACCACGTGAGGGAGCTTGAAAGCAGATTCTCCAGCCCCATGTGACTGCAGGCCATGTGACAGCTCGACTGTAACTTCAGAGAGATCGTGAGCTAGAACCACCCAGCTAAGCCACTCCCGGGGTCCAGGCCCACAGAACCTGTGAGATAATAAACATTTGTTGTTTTAAGCTAAGTTTGGGGGTCATTTGTTTTGCAGAAATAAAACATGAATACAAGTTGTTTTCTTTTCAAAGCTTCCCCGGTGTTGACATGAAGCCCTACCTGGCCAGGTTGTACCTGTCCCGGACAATTCCTCTCCTCTTTCTCCCAGCTCAGTTTACCCCTTCACCCTCTTTATTTTGAATAACTTCCTTAAGGCATTAAAGCTCAACTCAGGCCCACTGAATATGAGAGTGCAATTAGCCATTGAGCAAGTGCAGGGGACAGCAGTTTACGAGAGCCATGTCCCCTAGAGGTATACAGCCTGCAGAGCTCCATGTGGCAGCCCTGCCAGCACTGTGCCAGAGGCCAGGTTTTTCTGTTGGACAGAACACATGGGGCAATTCCTCCAAAGATTACAGACAGGGGTTCGGGGAGGGTGGTAAGGTGACTCCTTTTCACTGGGGCTGGCAGACTTATCTTGAGGTTACAGGCAAAGCCCAAGGATTTAGGTCATTCTCTTTCTTCCTGTCTCAGGAAAGCACCTGCGAGGCATGTCGGGGTGGTGGTCATGACCTTGGGCCCTGGTGTGGCACAGACAAGTCCATTCCCAACTGTCCCTGTTGTTAACGGGGCGACTCAGCACATGGCTTCACCTCCCTCCGGGACTCAGATTCCTCATCTGCCAAATGGGATTAAGAGTAGCACCCCCTCCCCACCGCGGAGTGGCTGGAGGTTACAGCGAGTTCACACACATGTAGTGTAGCTACTTCACTGTCTGCACCCAAACAGCAGCAATTGCTGTTATTATCACTGGTTCCCCCAGGCGAGCCCCATCCCCTGCTGGTTGCAGAGCTGATACTCCACGTTGAATTAATGGAATGAAAGTCTCCGTAAATCAACAACCAACAACAACAATAATGATGATGACGATGATAAAGCCACACTTGAAACTGAACACTACAAAGCATACTGGACAACTTGAACCTTGGTCTCACAAACCACAGCCTCAACTCAGTCGTTTTTTTCCACACTGGAGAAATCTCAGAAGGAAAGAAACCTCATGTGTTGGCAAAATACAGACTGAGAGGCAGCAGCTACGTGTTTCCAGGTGCCCGTTGGAGGGCTCGGGATAATTCTAACCTGAAGACGGACATGCAAACATTTAGTCAATAGCTTAAGCCTGACTTAAGTCGAATCAAGCTGCCAAGCGCCCAGAAGCTATAAACAGCCCTGCCTGGCTGCTCAGCCCTCCCCCTGCCTCCGGGATTGTATCTGAAAGCCTTCTGGATGCAGACTGGATCAACTGCTGACGTCAGAGGGGAATTCACTCCCCCTGTTCTGGTCTAGAATTTCACAGCTCATCCCCCAGGAAAGACTGTGCCACGTTGTGCACACAGACGGGGGAGTGCTGGTGTGGCAGAGGGGAGCTGCCTTGGCTGGGCCTGCACCCGAGTGTTGAGCAAAGATTTAGAAGAAAAGAGACTAAGCCTCCAGTTCCTGTGCCCGCCTCCTGCCCTGCCCCACCGGGCTCACACTCACCCACCCTCCTGCCAACTCCTGCACAGTCACAGGGTGCCCAGGGGGCCAGCTCTGTGCTCTGAGCAGGGCAGGAGGCATGAGCAAGAGGAGACAGACAACAAACATGGACAGAACTCAATGATCAAGTCATTTCAGCCAGAGACGGTGTTGTGAGGAAAATTAAACAGCTCCATGACCGAGGACGACCAGGTGGGGCTCCTTTGGACAGGTGGCCAGGGAAGGCCCCTCTGAGGAGGTGACATTTGAGCCAAGAAGACCTGGATGACTGAAGGAGCCAGATGTGCCAAGGGCAGAATGTTCTAGGCAGAGGCAGGACTGAGCACAGGATTCACGGGGTCCTGGGCAAAATGAAAATGTGGGGCCTCCTTCATACCTATTAAAAATGTCACCATGGTGAGAACAGAGCTTTAAACCAAATGTGGGGCCCCTGGAAGTCCAGGGCCCTGGCTGACTGCATGCGTCTATGCTCAAGAAGCGAGTCCTGGTAGGAGGGTCAGTCTGAGAGCCCGAAGGCTTGGAAATTTCCAGATTTAGAAAGAAAGCCAGTGTGCCTGTAGGGCAGAGGCCATGAGAGGCGGTCAGGGAGATGCGTGTGTAGGGGATGTGGACCTGACAGGTTTGGGCACCCATGAGAGAGGTGCGATGGGGACTTTGCACGAGGGAGGTTCTTGATCTGATGAATCTTTGTAAAGACCTGACTGGCCACTGGGTAGAGGCTGGTGTGTAGTGGGGTCTGAGGAGAAGCAGGGAGCCAGGTTAGAAGGCAGAGATGGTGGTGGCAGGATGGACGGGCCCACATGGACCACAGTGTTGTCAGTCCTATCTGAGGGTCTTCACTCATCCCCTCCCCTCTGTCTGAAATGGCCACGTGCCTTGCGTCCTCAGGGCCTCTGCCTTGAACACCTTGAATACCCATAGTCATCATGTAACTCCACTGCAAAAGCCACCCCCTCCATGAAGCCCGGCCCGCAGGCTGGCACCCGCCCCTAGATAGCACCCAACTCCCCAGCTGGACAGCGAAATCCTTTGTGTTTCCCGACACATGGTGGCTCGTGCTCCATAACTAGTTGTCCAGTGAGTGAGTGAATGTATTAATCCATGTTAGAAGAAACAGGGCCCTCCTCCAACCAGGCAAATCTGAGCCTAGACCTTGACCCGAAGAAGGAGGCTTCTATTTCCAAACTCAGCATGTTTCCCTCTCATTAGATGTTTAAAAAAAAAGTCAAAAAAAGAAAGAGAAGAAGCTGGCATCGGAGGCTGTGGCACCCAAATTGCACCCTCTGACTATTGTTTATGCTATATTTGTCCTGTCTCCAGGCGTCATCCTGGGGGACTGGAAGAAACATGCCAAAACGTCCCTTCCGGCGGCAGCACCCCTGGAGGAATGTTGCCCTGTTCTGCCCTGCCCTCTAGTGGCCAGGATGGATATTGCATGTTCCCCGAAGATATTTTTCCAAAAACTGGAGGAAGGAAGACCGGGATGGTTTGGACTCTGAAGGATTTAGTCAGAAGGAGGGGTGAGCTGCTAGAGAGGCTGGGGAGCTGAGGGCCTCTTGGGCTAGTGGCCTCCATTAACCTAGGCTGTTATTTGTCCTGGATCGTCCCACAATCCCAGGATTGCCAAACTGCCCAGGAGTTGGATGAAAGCGCTCCTGGACAAGGAGAACAGAGACATTGAGCTTTTACATGGCATTTTATGGTCCTTCACAGGGATGCTTTATTTACCTGCAGCATGGATGAGGGCTAAGAAAAACCCAGGTCCACCATATAATTTGGAGCTAAGTACATGACGGATGCCCAGAGATTTAAAATTAGCCAGTAAACGTAATACCGGGCATTATGCTTGCTTTCAAGCGCCTGGGTGTCTGTTCGGGAGGCCTCACTTGGGAAGGACTCTTGATAAAATAATCAGACTCTATCCTCCCTAGAAAAAAAAAAAAAGGACCCGCTTTGAAGGGGACCAGTTGTCCCAAACGTCCTCCAACCAAATCGGAGAGTAGAGCTGATTGCCCGTGTGCATTCGTGTTCCATGTGTGGGATTCTTTTGTGGTTTGCACACATTGAAGTGAGGTTTGGGGTGATTTCCAAAAGGCAAGTATGTATTTGCTGTTTTATAAACACATCTCACTTAGCTTTCAAAGCCGAGGCTGCCTTCTTGTCCCCACTCCACGGCAGAGTGACTGGTACGTGGGGTGAAGGCCATGAAGGGGCTTGTTCCTTGGCACTTCGGGCAAGTCCATGATAAGAAAAGAGATGGCACAAATTCACATTCATAGCTAGCAAATGAGGGCATGTTTATCCGTATGCTCTTTACATGCATGAATTCATTTAATTCTCACAGCAACTTCACTAGATAAATATCATTACCTCCATGTACTAAATAAGCGGTGAGGTTTCAAGTGGTTAAATGACTTGCCCATGACCAAGCATGAGGAAGTAATTGCAGAGCCAGGATTCAAACCCCAGATTGCCTGACAGGCGCTCAAGCACCCGGTTTTATTTTCTCCCAAAGTAGAGTGGAGTCTCCCAGGTGACACACCTCAGGCCCTGTCATCTGTTGAAATTATAAGGAGCCAATCAGTAACTCCCTTGCCTCCCCTTTGGAACACACAACAATTGAGACTGTATTTGTTATCTGTTGCTGTGCAAAACAATTATCCCACAATTTAGCAGCATTTCAAAACAATAAACATTTACAGTCTCAGTTTCTGAGGAATCTGGGAGGGGATTAGCTGGGTGCTTACGAGGGAGGGTGTCTTTTTATGAGGTTGCAGGCTGTGGCCAGTTCAAAGCTCGATTGAGGCTGGAGGATTTGCTTCTGAGCTCACTCACTTGGTGTTGGCAGGAAGGCTCATTTCTTGCCATGTGCGCTTCTGCCTAGGGGTGCTCATGATATGGTTGCTGGTTTCCTTCAGAGTCATTTTTGCCATATACTAATGGTCCAATATGGCATTATACCGGGAGGGTATAGCAGGAGGTAAGGATTACTGAGCACCATCTTGGAGGCTGCCTACCACGTAGAAAGAGAAGTTAGAAAGAGGGAGAACAAAACGATGGCCTTAAAACTGTAAAAATTGCATCAAAGGATGTGGCCACAGGGACTTTTTAAATACTTCATCCCTGAAATAGACACGCTTAGCCACCTGGTCACAGGAGGGGCTGGGGAACCACATCTCACAGCAGGTCAGGTAGGCTTAACACATAGACTTTCTGAGAGTAAGACACTCTGAAAAGAGAATGGGCTGAGCTGGGCAGGCTCAGTAACATCTCCTAACAGCTTACCCCACGCCATTTCCCTCTCCCAGGAGGCTGGGAGTCTCCTCTAGGAGACTCGTCTTCTTATGCACATATGACCAGGGAATGGGTTTTTCACTAACGCCATCCCTGGTCCCATCAGCTCTGTTCCATCACTGCGCATTACATCTAGTGGATGCTTTGCAGGACTACATCCTGGAGTCAAGGGATGTTTCTCATTGATGTCAGTGTCTGCAGAAACCCACATGGTGTGCCAATACCACCACCACCACCACCACCACCATCATCTATCGTTGAGTATCTAGCATGCCGTGCACTAAAACCTTCACAGGAAAGGCCTCGTTCCATCACCATAACCCTCTGCAGCAGGTATGATCTCCATTTAATGGAGGAGGCAAGTCAGCCACAGAAAAGTTAATGTGGCCACGGTCACACAGTTAGCAGGTGACAGAGGTGGAATTTGAAGCCAGCCAGTCTGACTCCACAGCTGTGCTCTGAAACCCCATGCCAGAGATGCTTCTCAGTAAATATTTGTTGAAATAGATGAATGCAAAAAGACCTATTGACTTAAAAAAAGGAAAGCAAGCCTAAATAAATAAAGTTGTTGGGCCATAGCAAGTTCTAGAGAAAAATCCAATCCCCACAGTGCTTTGTCCAGGTCTCAGGAATAAAGTTAAGGTTGAGAAAAGGAACGACATCTTGCAAAATGCAGAAGCATGGGCCAGGAAGTGGCCTTTTTTTTTCAGTGTTGAGTTGCTTCTTCTCACTCCCATTCACTTCTGTAGATGCTGCCTCCATGGTTAAAACGAGGGCTGTCCGTGAGACCTCAGCAAAACAATTAGGAACTTTGCTCTCCTAATTGTCCACTGGAGGCCAGCACATCAGTGGTCACTGTAGATAGCTTGTTGGCTTTGAGCACCAGGAAATGCAGATGGGTCCATACTGCGGTTCCCAAGAAACGGACGCCCAGAGTTTGTTTATGAGACAAATGCAAGGCCAAGAGACAAGATACTTAGGGTCTTAGTACTTCTACTCAAGTTGTTGGTGTGCCTGGGGGTAACAGCCCATTTACTGTTACCCACCTGTGTCTTGCCTAATGCTTATGTGACCCCCTCTGCGAACTGTGTCCCTCTGGTTATGTCAACTCATTTTAATGTCCAAACCCAACAAGACTTCAACAACTGCCACAAGAACACTAATTATGTCTGACACGCAGGGTAAGGCTTAAGGGGAGACAAAGGGAGATAAGGTCTCTCATGGGGAGACATGGGGAGACAAGGTCTCATGGAGAAATATGAGAGACCTGGGGGACGTGGTAAGACAAGGTCTGATGAGGAAACATGAGGAGACAAGGTCTCGTGGGGGACATGGAGGGGTAAGGGATCACTTACCCTGTGGGGAGTTGGTTAGGTTTTTATTTGTCTTCATGGAGCTTGCTTCAGTCCTAGGGTGAGTTAGGGGGCAGGGCACAGAATAAAGAGGTGATTAGCAGGAGAGAGTCTGAGAGGCACTGGCCACAGGGCTTTTTAGTCACTCAGAGGACAAAGACAGCACTTGGGGCTGGGCTGAGGGAGGAAGCTTTTAGAGGGGACGTGGGGTCTGAGAAATTGGGAAGATACAGTCTAGTGTCTTCCAACCCTCATTCTCTCATGATTTTTGCAACAGCTGGCTACAGCCTACACTATTGTTTATTTAACATCCTGAAATTGAATCATTTTTCATATATAAATTAATTCCTCCTTAAAGGAAATGTTGTATAACTTCAGTAAATGGAACTCCAGTATCACTTTCCATCCTAGAATGTAACCATAAGATAAAAATAATGAAACAAAACAACGGTATTAAATTCTAGCTAGATACTATTGCTGGGGAAGTTTCTGACTTTTAACATGCTTTACAGGGGTGTTAAAGATACAGGGACATTTAATTCGGACTTTCTCCTGGCTATAACCCAAAGATTAAAAATGAACTGAATTCCTCATGTGGGAGAACGGCAAATCCGTGCCTCTGAAGGCCCCTCCCACTACGCTATAACTAGATCCTGGGAAGATTACAATGAACATATGTCTATGATTGCTGGGTTTGTATGAAAATAAAGACAACTGCCAAGGTTGATGGGGGAATGGGAGAGAATACTAAAATGACAGTAGAATGGGAATAGTCAGCAAATGTGACAGCGGGAGATGGCATACCAGCCCTGGAATCAGGACACTATGCCTGAGCTCTCTGCAAAATAGGAAAACTCAACCCGAGACTCTTTCAATAAAGCCTGATTTTCTAAATGGAGCTCAAGTGTGTCCAGTGTGGTGGCAGCCTCTGACTCTTCAGAAAAGCAAACATCAGCTCTCCCCAGAACAAGGCATCACCAATTTAGGCTCTCAGGATCCTTACAGATTATGTTCAACCAAATATAAGCTCACAATAAAAAAATTGCCAAATGCTCCAGAAAACAAACTTCATTGAGTGAGATCAGCAGAATCAACAAGATGTAGACTTAGAATTATGTGAGTTTCTAATATTGCAATGGTAAGATACAAAATATAAAGTATAAAAGGTTTATAAAATATGTAATTTGAAAATAAACAAAGAGACTATAAAACGTGACCAGGTAGATTGGGAAAACATCCAAATAGAAATTTTAGAAACGAAAACTATAATCATTGAAACTCAATAGATGTGTTAACCTGCAGATTAGAGGGAGAATGGGTGAAGTAAGGAATAGATGTGAATCAAGCACCCAGAATGCAAAACAGAGACAAGGAGATGGAAAATATGAAAGATACGGCAGTTATAATGAGACAGTGTTATATACACTCAACTAAATTAGTTAATATAGGTAAAGCACTTAGAATAGTGCCTGGCAATTAGTATCAACAAAGCCGAATGTTGGTTCTTCAAAAAGGCATATAAAATTTTACAACCTCTGGCAAGATGAATCAATGAAAAAAGCGACTGCACAAATAAACAAGGTCAGGCATAGGAGAAGAAACTGCAGATGTACTTGAGATTAAGACAATAAGAGTGTACTCTAAATATTATGCCAATTAGAAAATATAGATGAAATAGACAAGTTAATAGAAAATACAACTTAGCAAAACTGATGAAAGGAGAAATAGAAAATTTGAACAATCATATAATTATCAAGGATATAGAAGTTTGAAATAATAGTTAAAATTGACCCAAAAATAATACACCAGTCCCAGAGACATTTACAAGTGAATCCTACCAAACTTTCAAAGAACAGATTATTGGAGGAAACATTTCCCAATTTATTATATAAGACAAACCAAAGCTTTGATATTAAGTCCAGACAATAATAATGCTAGAAAGTAAAATTATAGGTCAATTTCATTCAGCAACATTGATGGAAAAATTGTAAAGCAAATATTACCAACTCGATCAATAATCTACAAGAAAGGTAAAAAGACCAAGTTGGGTGTAATCTAAAAATATAAGGGTAGTTTGACATGAGAAAAATTCATAAGTGCAATTTGTTACCTTAAGAAATTAAAGAATAGAATCACATGGTCATTTTAATAGATGTAAAAAAAATCATTTGAAAAAGTTAATACCTATTCATTATTAAAAACTTTCAGCAGATTAGGAATAAAAGGGAATTGCCTATAGCAAGCATCATTCTAAATGGAGAAACAGTAGAAGGATTCCCTTTGAAATCAAGACCCTGACAAGCAGGCCCACCATCCCTGTTTCTATTTAACATTGTACTGGAGGTACTAGCCAGGGTAATAAGACAAGAAAAAGAAACAAGAGCTTTAAGATTAGAAAACAAGCATCAGTATTACTAGATAACATGATTATCTGCGAAGAGATAGCCCAAAAGATTTTCAGACCCAATTATTAGAATTAGTTAACAAGAGTTTAGCAAAGTGGCTGAAAATGAGATCAATGTATGAAAATCAATTGTATTTTTATACACAGGCTACAAATGAAAATATTAATTTTTTAAAAAAGATTTACAATAGCAACAAAATAGGAGGTACCCAGGAATAAATATAACAAAAGAGGAACAAGAAGCTGATAGAGAAAAAAATTTAAAACTTTTTTGAAAGACATTTTTAAACTAAATAAATACTGTATTATGGGTAGAAATATACAATATGAAGATATCTCCAAATTGATCTATAGAGTCAATGGAATTTCAATCACAATGCCATAAAACAGGTTTGTTTGTTTGAGAAATTTGAAAAGTAGATTCTAAAATGTATATGAAAGAAGAGCAATGGGCTTAAAATGATCTAGAGCTTTTTTCAACTAAGTTACTCCTCTGAACCACAGAAAATGATTTTAGTGACTATTTTCTGTCTTTCCAAAGATGGTAGCAACTAGTACTATCCTAGTTAAGAAGTAATTCTTTACATACAACAAGTATTTTAGGGCATTAGGGTGAGGAAAGTTTGGCTGGAAGTTTAGGGTGAAGGAATTTCCCTAGTTCCATATCAAGACTTATGATGAAGTTAGAATAATTAAAATAGTGTGATATGGATGCAATTACAGACATACTAATCCAAGCAACAGAACAGACCTCCAATTATTTGCAAACTTGATACATGAAGAGACATAGCAGTTCTGTGAATAAAAGATAGACTATGGAAAAAATCCTGAGAAAACTGATTATCTACCTGGGGAGGTGCTAGGACCTGGGAAG